ATTTAAAAAAGGAGCCCATAAAGGAATTTATATAACTTATTCTAAGAATCTCAGAGAAAAGGGCTCACTATAAATAGAAGGAAATGCATTTCCCAGAGGTAGCATGAACATGAGTTGAAAAGTGGCTTGAAAAAGTAAACTTGATTCATGGCAGTGATTTAAAGTGGGTTAATTTCATTTCAAGAAAATATTCCTCCCATGGTCACATGGATCATGATCAGTGCAATATGATGCTGAAAAACACAGGTTTGTGTTTTTAGAAACCTCTACCAAGGAGAGGCCAAATAGCTGATTTTAAAAACACACCACACACCGCAACCACAAATAGAACCAAGCGAAGTCTAACTACTGGCAGTGAAAGTTACCAAGTTTAAGGAAGGGGCCGGGAAACAATTAAGCTGGGGAAAATCTAGCAGGTGCTGGGAGAATAATGCAATTTCCGAGGGCAGCAGATGCACAAGTGAAACAGTATCCAGTAACAGTCCATCAGATGGTAATTATGGCTGGACTGGGGAAGAACAGCCCAGATGAAAAGGGGCAATTCAAAGAGTAACTGAATGCCAGTGAGCGACATCTTCCTGAGAGATCACATACCAGGGAAAAGCGGGGCCATCACTTAGCTCTGAGGGGGAGGGGTTAAATAAACCGTCATTTTTCTTTGTAGAAGGACAAAGGGAAAATATGGGGAAATCAAATGCACAGAATCCAAATGGAGGCCTCCAAAGAATTCATTAGTCCAGATTTAATCAGAACATCCCTAATAAACAATCAGAAAAAAAAAAAAATAACAGGCATCAATCACTCTGGAAGTATGATTTCTCAGGAAAGATGAAGTGTTGATTCAATCCCAAAAAAGATTTGAGAGGAGTGGGGAGGGGGAGGGAGAGAGGGAGAGAGACAGAGAGAAAGAGAGAGAGGGGTGCGGAGGGAGAGAGAGGAGTTCACACTGTAATTCTATGAACATTATAAACCCAGATGAAGGACTGAGGTGACTGAAGTGGATGATGGGGAGCATCTATTGCTATTGAAGCAAGTGTAGGGGCTGTTTCAGTTCAAAGCAGATATTCTGTAGTTTAATAGGACAAATAATAGTTATTTAAACTCCCAGCCTTGGAAAGGAAGCAGTGCCTGTGATACAAACACATTCCCTCCCCAGGAATTCTGCAGAAACAGGTCTGATCCCAGTGTGGCTATTTCTCCAGAGTCTGGGCTCTCACTACCCAGAGGCCAGCGCACCTCTTCCACCCCAGGTTAATACTGAAACTAAACTGCAAGCTCCTTGCGGGCAGGGGTGAGTCACAGTTATACTGAATCCCTGTGAGGGGCAGGAAGGAAAGAACAGGCTGGCATGTAGCTCCACCCCCCAAGGTAAGTGTAGGCCAACTTGTTCCACGGTCTTTAATTAATATGACCACTCAGTTAATTCAGCCACATTTTGCGTGTTTCCCTGATCACAGTACCCATGCAGGTGGGCCATGATGATTCATTTAATAAAAAATTTCCATGAGCATAACTCTCAGAATGTATGTGCACAGGCCGAGATGGCGCATTCAAGCTAAGAAAAGAATCTTCCAGGTCCATCATGTGGAGTATGGTCTTGGTCAGGAAAAAGTCCCCTCTCTTATCCTCAAATTTATACTGGTTGACTGTGGAGTTATTATTAAGAATCATTGGGGTCTACTTCTGAAATGAGTGATGAAAATCATTTATGTTTTCCACGTTCTTTCTTATGACCTGTTGTCAATTAATAGAAACAACAGGGAAGGTGCTATCAGGGACACCTATCATCTGACCCAGGCGGAAACTAAGAGGGCCTTGGGGTGGCAAGGGAGGGCATATTTCCCTGCCATGCAGCGATGAATTTCAATCACTGCTGCCTTGTGCCAGATTCAAATTGGCAACCCACCGAGATGAAATACTTTCTATCCCATTACTCATGCCTGGAGTGATCTGTTCCCTTGAAGATTGGCTTCCTAGGTGAAAGCTAGGGACTGGACGGTCACTCTAACACGCTTAAAATAGGATAGAAGGTATGAAAGGCCAGTGGCCAGCAAGAGAAATGATATGGGTATGGTGAGGGAACAGAGGGTCCCACATAAAGCTCAATGCACTGGGAGGGGTCAGGGGTGTGGGGAGATGGGAAACTTAAAGGGAGAAGAGGAATTCAGTTAGTAATGACAATCGCTCAGCCTCGCACAGTTCAACTGCTGAGGCTATTGCTCTAGTAGAAATAGTAAGAAAACAGTGCATTGGGGACTATATAGAAATTCCTCCCAAAATAATTCTACTTTGCTCAATTTGTGTGAGATAATCACCCTAAAACATTAAAGCCATCTAAATGTTAAAAAGAGAAAAATAATTTAAAATGGTATAATTTAGCATTGTAACTTTTGAACATCCAGGTTCATTCCATGTGGATTAGGGTCTCAATAAATAATCCTTTGATTGAACTTTTAAGATTTCCAAAATTTTTACTAAAGCTTGTTTACTGAATCCAAATCTGCACTAAAACCTCCTCAAGATTGAGTACAACGAGTAGAAGTAAAAGTGCTTCCAAAAAGTCAGAATTCACCAATGAAATGAACAGGACAGCACAATGTGGCGGTGTCAAGAAGCATCAGCATTATCATTTTCCTGTCGGCTCCTTAAGTGGTTGTCTTCCTGGACCCTGAGTTAAAAAAACCAACCCCGCCAAGGCCTGAAAAAAGCCAAGGCCCCAAGAAAAGGAAGCAAAACAAAAAAAAAAGAACCGGGAAAAAGTTAATAAAAAAAAACAACGAATTCAAAACAAAACCAACCGGGAAAGCAAGAAAAGAACAATTTTAAATGAAACAAAATGTTTTCTCTGGCTTTCTCCCTACCTGGAGCTCCAGCTCACCTCAAAGTTGCCCAACTCTGGAAATTCCCAAGGGTGGTGGTAGGGAAGGAGCTCCTGAGTGTTCAGAAAAACACTGCTCTTGACATCCATGTGACAGCTCTGTACTCCTGCCCCCAGTTCCAGCCCTACCACCCATGCCACCAGATGACGGCTGAGGGCACAGGAGCCACAGGTCACCTCTAATATATAAGGGCTTCTCTTGGCCCGGTCCTATAGTCTATCTATACCTGAAGGTGTCTCAACCATGATTGCAAAAGGACAACATTTCTCATCCTTACCCTGAGCTGATACAGAAGCTACAAAGCAGTACGCCTGGTGCACCCATGTACTTTTTATTTCCAGCCCCTTCTCCTGGGATCAGCTTGACTCTTATTTCAGTGATGGATAAAGCATGTGGCCACTCTCTTTGACCCAAGGCACTATCTTTGCACCTAATTTGTGGGTGTTGGCTCTCATTCCAATGACGTATTTTCCCAGGATTTCCAGGTGCAAACAGACCCCCTAGTGGCCCATCTCAGAGGTCCTCCAGGTGGGCTCAGGCACATCTCATCTCTAGGGTACTGTGGATCCTGCTACTTAAGAATATTCCTGTGACCCACAGATGAAATGACATGTGTCTGGGGTTTGCTTCAAAATGATACAGGAGGAAGGGGAAGTGGGTGGAGGTATAGGAGATTCAAAATTGGCCAAGAGTTGAAAATTGTTGCAGCTGGGTGCTGAGCACATGGGTGTTTCAGTGCTACTCAAGTTGTGGTCTGAGACAGGTGCCTGAGCGTGAACTATTACTGGTCTGTGAAGATGTAAGTATAGAAATTGAGAGAAGCATTCAGATACTTTTATAGCAATTTGATGGAATAATTTTACATCTGTTAAATCTAATAATAAAATAATTGGACTTCAATTTTGTCTGTCTTAGCTTTTTAATCTCATTTTTCCAGGAATTCACTTTTTATAAAACAGTCTGTGATGCATTGTACGTTAATAAAAAAAAAGAAAGCAACAGCCACATAGAGATTGGGAAGCACTGCTTTCTATGATTTTCTCTGCCTTCGGATATGCTTGACATTTTCAGTAATAAAGAGGTGGGGGGGAAAGAATTGCTGTTTGTTTTCACTCTCTATTCAAACAGAAATTTACAATTTATCAGAAAATAATTTTTTACATTTTACAAATGCAAAGCTAAATGTAGGACTGGAAGCAGCCTCTGTTACAGGAAGGGGCTCCTCCGGGATGGGTCTGGCGGATGAGCCCTCCGGCCCACAGCGCTGGGCTAGTCTCGAGGCGTCCAGCTGAGCTCCACAGGATGAGCAACTCCCTGGCTAAATGTTAGGAGAGTTTAAACTTACGCTTTCCTTTTTTCTGTCTCACAAAGGACAAATGTTAGCCCACTGAGGGATTTTTTTAACTTATTTAAGTGGAAGTGTATACAAATATTACAGGCCCACATGTCAGTCAATGTGACAAAATTATGTTTTCCAGTTAAGTTACTGAAAATGGCTGTGTGTATGTGTACAGGGATATTTCCATTTACAATGAAGTCCGGGTCCTATTTCAGTCCCTGTTCTTGTTCTGGTAATAAGTGTGTCCCAGGGCCACTCTTTTTTTAAGATCAGAAGTTACTGCTGTCCCAGGGCAGCTAATATGTTCCTGTTAATCATCCTGACTTCCTGGGAGGAGTTAAACAAACTAGCTTAGGACTGGGACCCAGACACTCTGAATGCAGCCAGCTCTGTTTCTTCCATCAGCTTTGTCCACTTAATGCCTTGAAAGCAAAACATTGATTGAAAGGGGGAATCTGCTTTTGAGGAAAGGGAAAGAAAACAAAAATGTGCTGGGAGGGTGACTCCAGGCCATTTGTCCTGGGACACAGCAGCAGGGGAGGCATCCCCGTGGGGTCCCCCTGAGGGATCATGTGGCTACTGTTTTAGGCTTGCAGTCAAATAACCACTTGAGGGAAAGGGCTGCAGGCGAGACCTTGCAGGGCGCCGCCTGTAAGGGTATGAGCACCAGGTTCCCTGTAATTAAGAAGCAGCCTGCTCCCGCGAAGACAGCGCTGCCACCCCATCTGCCAAGCCCGCGGGAGCTGGCACCGCGCCTCCCTGCCTGCCGCCCTGCTACCCACCTCCTCCTTGGAGACCGCCTTTGATGGAGCGTTTATGCCAAGCTTTTCCAGAGGATAGACAATCTGTCGTCGTGGTCGCACGGGAACCAAGTAATGAAGGGCAGATGTCAGGGAGTGGGCGTAGGGGTTCTGGAACTGAAAGACAGCAATCTATATTTTAGGGGAGAGAATGTCAGAGTGGCGCAGCACAGATGTCTGCGTGCGGCTTTACAAATACAAAACCCTTAACTCAGCCAAGGCAGAGAGGAAAAAAAAAATCAGCAAATAAACAAACATACTCTTCGAGCAGAGGAATGAATTGTAGATAATGCCTGACACTAATGAAGATAATTACGAGAGTAATTACATTACTATCTCTGTGGGAATGACAGATAAACAAGTGGTTTGGTTTATGGGATTTTTCAGTACAAGTATTTTCCCCAGGAGGATATTCTTCTCCATAGTGATCATGAATCAGCTTGATTTGACCCCACTAAGCTGTGGTATCTGTGTCCTGTTAACCTTTGTGTTTGGCACAAGCTTCTTTAAGAAGACACATAGATAAAAATGTCATTCAAGGGGCAACTTAGCTGGGATGTGAAAATTCCCGTTTGAGAAAGTCACAGCAACTTCAACTGGACCTTTGTTAATAAAATAAGTGTTTTAAAACAAAAGGATAAAACCAGAAAGTGGGAGTGGGTGTGGGGAGAGTAGGTCATATTATTTTGACTTATACTAATACTAAATTACGGGCTGGATTTATGCTTACTGAAATGAACTTTGATAAATTATGTTTTAGGAGAATCCTTTAAATATTAATTTTATCCAGTTTTTAAAACTTGGCAGAGAAAACTGAACCTGGTGATCTTAGTTTCTCTCACATTTATGAAATCTTAGGGGTTTTGATGAAACCAGCGCAGGGCATTATAACCATTTAAACCTCAAGAGTTAAATTATGAAACCAAAACTTTTAATGATATATTTATTGAATTTAAACTAAAAAGCAAAGAAAGTAAAACTGAACTGCAGGTGCATGTTAACACATGGTTTACATGTAATATATCTGCTGTTCTAAAAATAGCCCCAGGCATTTCTAAGAGCTTCTAAAAGGGTTTTCTAAAATTCTTCACCATTAAGCTTCATACCCTCACTTTAAAAACTGAAAAATAGAACCCAGGAATTCCTAGCCAGCACTCTGTTTTTATACCTGGAAGATCTTTTAATACATGGCCTGGGGAAGGGAGTATGAAGAAAATCATCCTCACAATGTGAGCCAAAAAGCTCAACTTTATTGCAGTCAACTGGAGATTTATAGCAGAATTTGGGAATTCTTACCCAAATTATTTGGAACTGCTTCTTATACTTGTTTTAAATGTATATATGTAAATCAACTGGAAGTGCAGGCTGAGAGGAAATCTGTTTTCAAATGTGTTTCTATAGCCTATATACAATAGTGCATAACATATGCCTAATTCTATACCATTGAGGTAAATATATAAACATTCAACAAAATGCCCACAATATTATTTTTATTATGGATACAAAAGGACTTTCTCCAACCTAGCACATCCAGGCAAGATCATGAATAAAAACAAAAATTTAATATCACATCCTGAAGGTCATAAAATTGGCATTTGGCCAAGTGCAAAGTAAAAGGAAATTGTACAGGACCAGAATTTTTTAGCAAAACTTCTACCTTCCCATCTCATTAAGTTCAAATCTAGGGCATTTGCATTGCTATTGTGCTGCATTTTGATAGAAAAAAATAATCACTAGAGTAGAGCCTACATCTCACTAAAATTCCCTTCCATGTTTTTCCTTCTTTCTTCTTCATTCCCTCTGTACTTCCCCAAAAGGCTTTCAATAAATAAACTACAATGGCAAAATTATTGTTATGTGTATGTACTAATATACTTTATATTATTTAATAAATAGTAAGTAAGGTCATTTAAAAATCTACTCAGCTTCTTGTGGTAACTAAGAAGGAATGGGACACTGCCAAAGACTCCAGGCAGAACACGAGAAAGTTTGAGGTCAGGAATGGACTCTGATGGGACAACTTCTACCTACTCTAGTGGTTGAATCCCATCACCCCTCCAATCTACATCAAGTTGAGGACCAATCCTGCCAGTGACAGAGAGACTGATTTGCAGGAAACAATCCCTTGGGAATCTAACTTGAATAGGCCCTTGCCTGTGGAACAACCAGACACCATATATGAGTATGTGAGAATGCTCATGTGTGTGTGTGAGTGTGCATGTATGAGTGTGTGTGTGTTTGTGTGACTCTTCTAGGTATTAGGGGTACTGCTTTGAACAAGACAGACACCTCTGCATTCATGGTAAATGTACAATTTTAGCTAGTGAAAAATGCTATGAGGAAAACAAAAGCAGGACAGGGGATACGAAAATAAGTAAGTCGGAGAGTTTGCTGTATGTGCACATACATAATGTGCATATACATAATGTATACAAATTAGATTCATGTCTATTTCAACAATGTCACTCTTTGCAAGTATAACAAGTATTATGCAGGATTATATAGGTATTTACTACATAAGAGATACATCAGGATGAGGTTATCTCCACTTTTTATCCATCACTTTTATGGGGGTGGTTATATGCTTATTTGGAATGCTGGGATAGCATACCAATCCTATAGAACAGAAATAATTTATTCTATGGATTCATCACTGACATGTTGTTTGCTTGAAGGAACATGGTAGGAGAATTTTGACTTTGCTCTAATGCACCATAAGAAATAATTAGATTTTCAAGTCTCTTAGAGCATTTTTGCATAGTTTTCAGTCTCTGTTTTGTCAATATAGAAAAGCCAACAAATTGTTCTACTAATCATACTGGTTGTTACTGTTCAAGAAATTCAAAGCCTTCTGGACTTCTGCGGTGTAAGAAAAAAGACCAAACTCAGTATAGCCACTGGAAATTCAGACCCATGTTATAATCAAAATCCAGCAAGAGAGAAATGACTAAAACATGGCACACAATATGAGTGACACTGTACACACTGATCTGGAAAAGTGAATTACAGCATTCTCTCACCTTGCCTTCCATGCCTCTGGGATAAACAGGGTAGTAAAGACAGGACTTGTAGCCTAAACGAAGGATCTCCTTCAGAAAAAACTTGGTATAGTGCCGGAAAATGGGGTTGAGGACAAAGTGACACAAGTGCCCGTGTTCTTCGCGCTGGTGGTGACCGAAGTAGATGAAATCTTCGATATTGTAATGGGATCGTATGAACTCTATGTCCTAGAGAAGAGGCAGGAAAGGATGGTTTAAACAAGAATTTTAAACAAACTGCATGCATTTGGTGATAAATGTCTTTTAAAAATTATTTTAGGTATTTTAGTAATAAATGTTTTTCCCTTCTACTATTTACCACCTCATCTTCATTGCAATTTTTTCTTTTTTTGAGACAGGGTCTTGCTCTGTCACCTAGGATGGAGTTCAGTGGTGTGACCATAGCTCACTGCAACCTTGAACTCTTAGCCTCAAGCGATCCTCCCTCCTGCCTCAGCCTCCTGAGTAGCTGGGACTACAAGTATGTGCCACCATGCCCAGCTAATATTTTTTATTTTTTGTAAAGACAGGGTCTTGCTTGTAAATTTTTTTCTAATTAAAAATTATGTTTCCTAAAAATTACTTGTTCTGATGGCATGTCTTTGGGGATGGCCACAAGCTTTGCAATGTGTTCCTTACACACAAGTTGCTAACAACTTGGAGAGCCCTGAGTCTCTGCCATTGACCAAGAGGCAGGACAGCAGCCCCTTATCACTGCTGGGCAAAAATGAGCACAAGTTGGTCAGCACAAGCATGTGTAAAATTCAGGAGTTGAGAAAACGGACCCACTGGTGTTCTCTGGATTTGTTGCTATTCACCTGTTAATGTGGAAACGTGCCAACCCCAAGTCACACACTTTGATTGGCACATGTGGCTGGCTGGCCTACAACCAAACTGTGAGTCTTGGCCCCATCCATGTGCATTCCTTAAACTTTCTATTCTTCTGATGTATAACATTTTTATGTAGTGAAAGGGAATTTAAAGGACTGATGAGTGATTATGTGTAAGAGGAAATATTGGACACATTGCTCTTGTTTCTATGGACCTGGCTCTGGTCCCCTCCCTTTGTCCCCACATTGCACTGGGAACCTGGGGCTCATCCATGAGAACTGTGCACTGGTTCAGCCTGTCCTGCTTCACTTCTCAGCAGCACACACTATTGGGGGTGGGGGCCGAGGGGAGCAACCCAAGGTGACTGTGACTCTCTCTGATGACAGGAGCAGTAAACATCTAAAATGCAGGAAAAATCAAATCATATGCAGGCTGAAAAACACAGACTATGTTTCTCCTTGTTTTCCACAGTAAAATTGTTTTAAAAGCACACTTTTGAGAAAAGAAATTGCAGAATGCAAAGACCTTAATGTACTCTGTGATCAGCAAGGCTGGCACTAGGAAACTCATGAAAACTGTGACGTCTGTGGCCAAGCCCCTCAAGGTTCCTTGTCTTTCCAGCTTCTGCTACCAAGCACAGAGGAAACAGAATTCCAGGTAACCTGGCCAGTGGTGGTCCCCCAGGGCAGTTCTGGCGACCTTTCCATCTGCATTGACCCTGTAACAGCCTTTATACTATAAGACTTTTCTTTAATTACCAAGGAGGCATCCCTCATTATAAAATAAAATGAGTGATAAGTGTAGCACTGAGAAATCATTGAAAAACAAAAAGCAAAGAGCCAACAGAGATTATTAGCTCAAAACAGCAGATGGGCCATGTGCATCTAATTTTCCTCCCTTCCCAAATCCCTTAAAATAACAACCAAAAAAATTATTTTTGAAATAATGCATGTGTAATAGGGTTGGGGGGAAAGTAAGGCAGTTTTACCTTGGAGGAAGTTTTTTCTTGGAAGGAAACTCTACCCCTAGGTTAAACCTTCCTACCTTGGGTCATTTGGGGATCCCTGCCTACCTGCCAATACTACATTCAAGCACATAAGAAGAAGCCAGACAATGGATACCCCCTCCCAACTAGACAGAGGGGGCAGACAGTCCTGCCAGTGACAGGAGAGACACAATAAAGAAACACACAGCACAACTGTCAAGGAGACCCATGCCAGCTACCCATACTGATAATCTAATCTTTCATTCATGACATGGACAGACTTTTAAGGAAAAATGACAAATAAGAAAGACCAGAATGTTGAAACATACAACCTACTACAAAAGAAACAGATATTATTCAGGAAACAGGAGAGAATTTTTAAAAATTCTACATAGTGTCCTCAGAGATACCAAAAAGTATCTTGCCTATAATATAACAAATAAGCTGATACCAAAAAGGAACAATAAGAGAACAAGGAAGAGACTTGGGAATTAATTATATGAACTCTGAAATAAAAATTCCAACAGAAGACCTGGATAATAGAATAAACATGACTGAAGACTCAATTAGGGATTCAGAAGACAAAAATCGAGGAAGTCTAAAGTGATAAGTAAGATGTATTATATATATATATGTTAAGAGACATTGAAGAATCAATTCAAAAGATCCAATCAATATCCATCTAAAAAAGGAATTTAAAAAGTGGAGAATGGAGAAAATGGAGGGGAAGAAATAATTAATGAAATTATAGAGGAAAAACTGTCAAAGGAGGCATAATATACTTTTTGGTAAAATTTCAGAATTTCAGGGATAAAAAGAAAATTTAATTTTCAAGACAGAGAGCAAACACACATTTACAAAGGATCAAGAATCAAGTTGCTATCAGATTGTATTTTATCAGGGACACTGGATACTAGAAGGCAATGAGTACAAACAGCAACATTCTGATGAGAAATAATTTGAACAAGAATTCTATGCACAGCCAAATGAATATGCAAATATGAAGACAAAATGAAAACTTCTTGTATATATATGGACTTTACTACCCACCACCCTCTCTAAAAGAATAACTCAAAGATATAGTGAATCAAAAAGAGAAATAAATCTAAGAAAGAAGATTGTATATAATACATTAAAGGAATAAAGCCATATGAACATCTTAATAAATGCTAAAAACATACTTGATAAATT